TAATCCACTACTGCTACTGCCCATTGTAGACCGCGCATTATGCATGGTCTACAATGGGCTCATTCAGCGGACTCAACTGTTGAGTCCGCTGAATGAGCCCATTGTAGACCACGCATAATGAATGAGGCTGTAAGAGTAAGAAATTGACCAATTACAGTCGATTATTCTTCTTACATTCAACTGTAATTGGTCAATTTCTTACTCTTACAGCCTCATTCATTATGCGTGGTCTACAATGGGCTCATTCAGCGGACTCAACTGTTGAGTCCGCTGAATGAGCCCATTGTAGACCACGCATAATGAATGAGGCTGTAAGAGTAAGAAATTGACCAATTACAGTCGATTATTCTTCTTACATTCAACTGTAATTGGTCAATTTCTTACTCTTACAGCCTCATTCATTATGCGTGGTCTACAATGGGCTCATTCAGCGGACTCAACTGTTGAGTCCGCTGAATGAGCCCATTGTAGACCACGCATTACGATTTCTTTACTGCTTACGTATTACGGCCTTACGTTTTTGTATGTGCCATGGGCTTTAGCCGGCCGAAGTGCTCCGAACGTAACCGAAATTGCACGAATGTGACGTGCAAGGTGATGCGCAGAGGCTTCCTGAACTCGTCCATGACTCAGGATGAGCATACCCTTAAGATGCAGCCACAATAGAAAGAATAAGGAATTAGGAATAAGGAATAAAGAATAAAGATTTCAACTGGTGAAAATTATATATCTATTACTTCCGAGCAAGCGAAACGTTGATTGGCTATCGCGCCAACTTCTGCCGCGCGGCAAGCTTTGCCGCGTTCTGTGTGCAGGAGCCATAAGAGGCTGCGCAGAATAAAAGGAATAGAGAACGGAGAATAAGAATCTATTCAATCAACATCATTCTAACTCGATTCTGATTAGACTATAACGCTTGCGACTACATTTACACAACCCTTAGGGCCACTGTCACCGTAGTTATGAAATTAGCCAATAGCTGTTCTTCGGAAGAATGGAACGACTGTGATTGGCCAGTTTCATAACTACGGATGTTATTAAACCCGATTAAGGGCCACTGTCATCAAACTCAGTTATGACGAATTCAATTGGAAGCACTAGCGCGCACTGGTGCATATTAAAGCCGTTGTATACTGATTTAATTTGAACATAAAAATGAAATGCAAATATTCCGAATTATGAAATACATATTTTACCTAATAATACAATAAAATGTATTGAGTATTTCACGGTTTCTATGCTTATTTATAAACATATCTTTACGTTATTTTTATCGTTTTCGATTGGGGTGCAAGCTGCACTCAGTGTCAAGAGCGTGTTCGATTGGCAATGCCAATGCGCACTTAGCTAGTGTCACGTGTTCATTTGACCGCACGACACTCGCGTAGTGCGCACTCAGTGCGCACTAAGTGGCACGAGATATTTTGACGGTGCCAATCCAGTGCACTGGATACATATATAGGATATCAGTGCATCGTTTTGTCACATGAAAGGATATACAGTAGGGACAAACAAATCTGTAATTTATAGCATGCAAATATGTACAATTATTGATAAGTATGTACATATATGATATTCTTGATATCTTATATATTATTTAATTACATATAGTAAAAAATCATTACTTAAAGTTATGAACATGAGATGTCGAGGTTATTTTTCTGCGTTTTTCCTGCAGTCTAGTCAAGTCCTTACAATCTTATAACTCGAAATGGCACTTCAGCATTAGCACTGAAAATCTTGGCGTGTTCTTTTGAATTTGCACTATTCAATGCAACCCGTGGAACTCGTCCAGTGCTAATGTGAATTGAGTGCGCACTGGTGCGCACTAACTTTTTCCCAATCGAAAACGCTATTTGTTTGCTTCAAACATGCAGTGTGAATCCAGCATTATGCTTTGTTATGCATTTCATGCGTAATGCCTGGTTTATGCTTCTGCTTAATCCTAAAATCCTAAAATTTAGCCAATGGAATACAGATTTCAGTTTCTAACTGAAATCTGTATTCCATTGGCTAAATTTTAGGATTTTAGAGTTAAGACCGAAGCATAAACCAGGCATAACAGGCTTAAGGCTTAAAACTCTATTGTAGATCCGGACTTAAGCCCGAGACACAATGCGAGGGAATAGCGATAGCGATAGGAATAACACGATTTCAACCTATCAGAAACTGCGTATTCCGATATATCCGATTTCTGATAGGTTGAAATCATGTTATCGCTATCGCTATTCCCTCGTACTGTGTCTTGGGCTTTATGCAAAGGTCTGTGTCGCGGCCTTAAGCAAACTGGCGACACGATCGGAATAATTGGTAAATGAATGCGGTGTAGCCTCGTATGTATCGTAGGTATATACATGTACTCGCTCGTGGTTCATTCGCATGACGCCTGGCTGGAGCCGCTGGAGAGCAGGAGCAACACGAACTACGAAGGCGAACAACGTGATCGGTGGTTCGTCGACGTGATCAAACGTGATGACGTCAGATCTCGAAGCATAGGCTGCATAGGCCGAAAAGGAACGCGTTTAAAGCCGAGCAGGGCGTGAAATCGTGCGCTCGTTCTTTCGTGCGTCGCGTCGCGTCGGATGGAAGTATGTGCGAATAACAGCGCGCGCGCGCGACCGTTTTATCCACGGGATAATTATGTTCGGTGCTGTTTTAACGTGATCGACAGTGAATAGTGTACCATGTTCCGCTGCATTCCAATTTTTAAAGGGTGTAACAGGCAGGTGGAATACGTTGACAAGCGTCATTGCTCTCTGCCGTGCGTCCCCGACGATATCCTTCGATACTCGAGGAGTTTGGAGGAGCTTCTATTAGACGCAAATCACATCCGTGATCTACCAAAAGTAAGCGACTGTATCAAGACTTTCCTCTTTCAACACTTTAATCCTTTTTTTTTCTATCTCACACGTACACAACAAACACGCATCGTCCTCTTCCTACCTTTGTATTGTATATTGTATTCCTAATGTACTAGTCTATCATCGTCGTACAAGGATTGTTGAATGTCTTATACGTGTATCTGTCTCTTTTCGCTTTGTGCGAAAGCCAGTCGATCGAGAACCTCTATCTATAAGCCGATGCCGTGTTTCTTTCAGAATTTCTTCCGACTCCAGAGGCTACGAAAACTTGGCCTGAGCGACAATGAGATACATCGTTTGCCACCAGACATTCAAAATTTCGAAAACCTCGTCGAGTTGGACGTGTCCAGAAATGGTGAGGAGCATATTAGATTGTAACAAAAAAAAAAAAAACCTAACAAATTTTTGAAGCTGCTTTATTTGCGCGCGAGATAACTGTAACCAGAGCATGAACGCCGCTAGGAATTCCAGCAATTAATCGTAATTAATCTTATTAGAAGAGCTTCGTTAATGATATCTCACGTCGTATACGTCGCGATGTCGTTTTTATCGTTGACACGCTACTTTTTCTTTGATTATGAAAGATTTGCTGGTTGGATTTAACTGTTCTTTAAGAAGAAGAAGACCGAGTCCAAAAGAACTCGATTTAGCGGTGAGAAGAGAATCGGAAGTAAAAAGCGTAGCCGTCGACTCGATCTATGAAGGCGAAGTCACTGAAAGAGAATCTTTTATATCGTACTTTTAATACTGAACGCGGCAACGTCGTTGGTCGTGCGTTAATGAAACCTGTATAACGGTGTATTTTCTTTCGCTTCCTCTCGTCGTTGCCTCCACCGTAGCGCGTCACCGTGCTATCCATTGCTACCGTCGCCACATCGCGTTAACCCGAACTAAGCCGAGCGAAGCCGAGTCGCCCCGCCTGTCACTGGCGCCTACCGTGAATATTTTTTTTTTTCAACATATTTATTTCTTATTTCTTACTCGTTCTACCTGCCGTTGTCTCCCTTGTCTCTCATGCCGAGGAAAACCGTAGAAAACTGAGGAAATAAAGAATCTCTCACAAATTACTATGTATTCGTAACATGGCGAGTTGATATTTTTGGGTCTCGCCAGGTAGAAATATATATACTTGTTTACGCGCGCATATATGTATGTGTATTTGTGTGTACGATGCCTGCATGTAGAAGGAATGTCGGAGAAGAAGAGAGGAGAAGCGGGGCGAGACGACGGGAAGAGGGAGTGACATTCCGATTA